GGGGAGTCCTGATATTTTGACCAACTTTGTTTTGGTCAACTCAGTTCATCTCAATCACTAATTAACATTTCATTTTAACATTAGAGCATTATCCATGTGTACATGTCTTCGCATACTTCGCTAAATTTTGTTGGCAATGAATGAAAAGAAATTCATTATGGGAAAAGTGTCTTCTGAATATAATCAGAATATTGAATGTGTAACCTCGTGTCCAAGCCTCCTTTCGTTACCTTTGATATATCGCGTGTGATTTTTTCCAGGTGCTATCAAGTATTTGTTTCAAAACTTGATGTTGGACAATGAACAGGTATGTCGTAGTGCAGCTGTTGCATTGGGTTATCTATCTTTTAATGGTTCTGGTGGACGTGAGATGCTCATGATCTGTCGCAATACACCTGGACTATACTCGGCTTTAGAACAAAACTTGGGCAGCGGAAAAATGTGTATGGAGTTTGTTGATAGTTGGCGACGAGCTGTGAATGTTGGTCTGCCCAGCAAAAGGTTAGGGTTTTTCCTACTTTTTTTCTGTAGAGTTGTATATACTCAAAATACATGATCAAAATGATAAAGGGAGTTTTCAAACCATTCAGCTAATCTTAGGGTTGAAGTAGGTTCCCTCGCAATAAATTCCAAAAGCGCGTTAAATGATCTAAAGTGCCATGCACTAACTTCTAATTTTATCTGAAATCTTATTTTATCATCTCATTTTAAAGAACGTATTTTAAGGTCACTTAGTTGAAAGATTTTCGTCTCCTCACTTTGTTATGTGTATATTCAGTTTATTTGATATACAAGCATACGAAACCCGTCACATATGCAAAATTCTTTAAAGAAAAGTTTGTTTATTTTATTCCTTCTTGAATTTAATTCTTTAAAATCGAGAGGTTTCAGTTATACAAAATTTAATAACTTATCCTTCTGATTTCATGGACACAAAAATATTAGTAACTTACATTCTTTGATAAGGCCAAGATGAACAAAAAAATAAAACTGATGTTTATCTTATGTGTGAGATAAACAGGCTCGTTATATCATAGAAATAATAGACATAGAATGCACGCTGCATGATGACGAATCATGTCTCCATTTTTCGCCGTGCGTGCCCTATTGAATGCGCCATTTTGTAAACGTAACTTTCATCAACCGATTAACAATTTACAAAATACAAACCAAACTTGTTCAAACAAAACTCGAAAGCCTCGCTCCTCGTGCAAGTTCCGGAACCGCGCGATATTCTTCATCGCAGGAGTCTGGACCGAGTAAAAATGCCCTTTTCAATGCGCCATTTTGTGGAGACAAAGCTTTGACTGAAGCGAGATAGGAGCACGCATTCTATGTCTATTATTTTTATGGTATATATCCTCCATATTGATTGTTAGTATTTCATTTTACTTTCAGCCTTGAGATAAACGGTGGACCTCCAGTTCCACGTCGCTTGCCAGTTGGAGAACGTAAGTATAGCAGAGCTTTTCGTCCAAGTAAAATAATGCACGAAAAAAAAATTGGGGGTCACCATGCTTCTTTTCCAACTATACGAGGCGATAGGCCATTTTGGAGTGAATTTCGTACACGTATGTCGTCATAACAACGATTTATCTGTTACTAAAACTAATATAATTTGAAAGTAGAGCCATCAAAATATATAAAAACCCCAATATCTGCTGAATAAATTCTAAAAATGCGTTGTTTGAACATGTCAAAGTGTTGAACACCTGAATTTTTGAAAATTGTATCGAGCCACCATAAGCCTGTTGTCAGAAACAAAAAGGTAGTATGAGTTAGTCGACCTACAGTAGTTGCTGCATGTATAAATGTTGGTATTTTAAAGTTAATGTCACAAAAGAACACTCAATAACCTAATCCTTTCAGGTCTACGTCGTCCTATGACAACACAAAGTTTACCAATGTGTCGTCGTGAGATAGTTCGTCGTGAGAAGAAACTCGGTGTAAGATCATGTGCTTCTGCTCCTGTCATTGCCTCGTCGTTTAGAACTACAAACACAAGACCAAAATCACAACATTTTAGAGAAGGCTCATCGGAGAAGACAAAAATATTACGCCTGAGGCCATCAGTTGAAAACAAGATGAAATCCAGCTTAGCAAGTGCCAGATGAAGCATACCAAACATACAAGCGTTTGCATGAGAGTTCCATCAACCTTCATGCATCTTATGGTTAAAAGAGAACATGAGAGTTAACTGGGCGCACAGCAGGAGGTGTAGTTGTCTAGTTGACTTTCATGAACATTTATCAATTCACTAACTTGAATGTTGATGAGAGTGTATGGTTAAACCACTGGTTTAAACGCGAGCTGGAATTCCAACTCTCATCTTCCTGTGGCGCGGACTTACTGTAAGATATAAACTGATCTAACTTATAGTAGGTCCTGGCAGCATTTCTCAGCTGTGCATGTGTTGCTGTGTGTTGGTATACTACTATTTAGTTGTTAGAGGAGTTAAAATATCAAATCGGTTTGGTTGCCTCCAATCTGGCCGAGGTGGTCCTCATGAACGTTACGCTCTGGTTATTTGCACTATTAAATTGACCAAACTACGCATTTCACATCCATGTTCAGATTTTTCACATCAGATGACAAAACCTTGTGGTGTCATACTAGGGCTGAGTGCCTGAATAACATTCTGGGTGATTCCCATGCCATTCGATCGATCCTCCATCGGCGCTGGCAACACGTGACTATAACTGCACAAGACAAAGAGAAAACAAAATGTGTGCATCAATAAAATCACGAAATATCTGATGTAGTGAGGATTTCGATTGCATTAGTTTTAATAACTGTACATTTAGAATTTGTTCACAAAATCGATATCCAAAAATATTGTATTTATATAACATGTATTTATTTATTTAATTATATATAGATGAAATATACATAATCTGACCATTTGAATGAATAAAAAAACCCACTTTATATACTCTTTATACAATAGTATTAATTGTCAAAATGTCGTTTTGCAAGCTCAAACTGCCGTAACAAGGCAAATAAATTATATTTACAATATTTGCAAAATTAACATTAACTTTTTTACGAAGTGAATATATTATACTCTATTGTTCAGACCTTAGAGAACTCGAGCAATGCTGAATCTAGCACGGTGCTGTGACGAAACTGTCGCTTACTTTACAATTTCAGTTACACGAAAAAAAAACTTGACACCTGGGGCCAGTTGTATGAAACTTTTAACTACTTTTTAAACGTCGAACTAACTGTTTTGTACCTTTTGTACCGAGAAATACGCTTTAAAACTATTTTCGAGCCCTGTGGCACTGTTGCCACATCCTCGTACTAAATCAAGCATTGCTCAAATTCGCTATTATCCTTCACCATACGTCATAGCGTTGCTGTGGTAACTAAATCTTCATGTCCGCCATCATATGAACCACGTGCAGTGACCAATAAATAGCGAGCTGGTTCATGAAGTAATCCTTTGAAAATTAACATACACTCGTAGTCAATACAGTTCCTGAAACAGAAATTAAAGTACGCTATGAAATACTTAACAAATATAAAACATTTTCCGTGTTGATATTATATCAATACGGAAAAATGTTTTATATTTGTTTTATAATATAGCACAAAGAAACATAAAGAAAGAAATTTTCCGACGTTTCCGTGTTGACATCGAGTTATATCAACACGGCTCTTAGCCAATCAGCGTTCAGAATTTATAAATGCTATATTATAATTCAGTTTGGTCTTTAATAAGTTCCGTGTTTGTTTTGCGTGCAGAAAATGTAATGACGACAACGACCACGAAAAAGTATTTTGTTTTTAATTTCGCATGCATGTGCGACTATTGTTTCACTAACATGTTTTCCTGATCTTTAATTTTCAATCTACGCCTGGAAATAACACAGCCAGTAATTGTTCTCAGTGAACAATTTACTTATTCTACAGGGGCCGGTTGTATAAAACTCTTAATCACTTTTTTAATCACTATTTTGTAGTTAAATAGTGATTAACTCTCAAATAGGCGCTTCTTATTGGATAACATTTCCACTTAACTATTAGTTAACTTTAATCACTTTTTTATACAACCGGCCCCAGGCAAATGCTTTTTGGTCTGCCCTCTTTTGGGGAACAGGGCCAGCTAGGAAACAATGTTCATAAATGAACAAGTTTATCCAAGCACATGCTACGTGAGATATAAACAACACAGTACCTTGCAACAAACGTTAGCTTCAGTAAGACATTATTGTTGCTTATATTGGAGATATGTCCTTCCAGAAAGCCACATGGTGGTTCAACTCCAAATACTTCACGACTTTCAGCAGGGTAACGGGAATCTAAAACATTGAATTTCAGCAATCAATAGTGTTGCTTCAAGCAAAATACGTTGAATTCCTATGGAAGTTTGTATACAGCTGTTTCA